CATTTTGCCTGTCGCTCATATGGGACCCCGATATAGGCACCCTAATACCATAGATCCTTGCTATAGGGACCTCCACGATGGTACCTGGAATTTAGGGTTTTGCGAATTAGGGTGTAGGGTTTAGGGTTTGGGGTTTGGGGTTTGGGGTTTTTGGGACAGGACTCTATTCCACAATATCCCAGGCAGAGGATGTAGGCTTCAGGGTCTAGAGTTTTTTGTTACAGTACTATTTTCGACAATAACCCAGGCAGAGGGTTAAGGGTTTGGGTGTTGGAGGCCAGGGCTTTGGCATTTGGAGCTTGTGAGGCCTGATCCATGCGTCTGGTTTGCATGGGACTTGGTCTAAATTACTGTGCCTAAAATTTGTGAGTATATGTAGGCACCCATCTTATAATAGGAACCTCACTAGAGGGACCTTTATTTTTGGAGTTTATGTAGGCACCCATCTTATAATAGGAGCCCCACTAAAGGGACCCTTCTTTCAATCGGAATTTTGGAAAACCGCCATGCCGAAAGCATGGGCTCGTTGGAGGCTTGCTAGGAAATGGCGGATTGGATACAGCCTTTGTCTGTGCTCTGGGGGCTAGGGCTAGGGGGCTTGGGAATCTCTAGACCTGTGTTGGTATCTAACGTCCTGAAAGCTATAGTTTAGGGTTTAGGTTTTGTCTAACCTCCTGTGTAGAATTTTTTCTACTTTATTTTCCATTACTAGCAACCAGCAAGGCAAGAATTTCAGGAAATCTTTCTGAGGGGGCCTTCTTAAATTCCAAGACGGCATGCCCCCTCTCTCAAGCTCGGCCGGTACAACTTGGAATCTCAAATCCCTAAACCCAAACGGACCTAACGCAAAGCCAACTGCCGTTCGGAGTCCCAAACCCTAAACCTTGAACCCACTGCCAACAGCCAAGCCTCATCTGTCATCCATTCTCCACATCGTAGTCAAAACCTACCACTTGGGCCCACCAAGCCTATACTCTCTAGACACCAGAGCCCATGTCTTGCAAAGTTCCTAATCCAAAGTCCTGGACCTCATCCCTAGACCCAACACCAGACCCTCCGGAGCCTAGCTAACAAACCCAAACTCTACACTCTACATGGTTTTTTTGATACATAGGGGGACCCCCAATATAGACCCCAATACTTCGAAATCCTTACTACTGGGACCCGCAAAAAGGTACCCCTACTTTTGCGAACCCCCCGTAAACCCAAAACCAAAAACCCTAGACCACTGCATATACCCCAGCGGCTGTAGCCATCAAGCTCTGCCAGGGACTGAAGGATGGCAGTCACTTCCTACATCGTGGGGCGAACTATTGGGGCTGGGGATTCAAGCTTTGACGGTTCTACATGGTACTTAGGACCCTACTCAGCGTTAACCCTTAGCCTTGGGTACCTGTAGTAGGAAAACAAGGGTATCCCAAAGGGTTTAGGGTCTAAAGGTCCAAGCTGGGTCCCCAGGAGGGTTTAAGGTTTAGGGTCACTTCTCACATCGTGGGACGAACTGTTTAGGGTTCAGGGTCTAGGGTTTGGGGTGGCGTTCTACATCGTGGGGAGCACAATCTCGTCTTCCCCCGTTCTAGGACCCTAGGATATGCTTGGGCCGCTTATTTTAATGGGCTTACATGCAATAAATAAGGATAAAGGGAAATCAAACACAACATATATGTTCGATAGGGGTCCCGGGTTTGTCTTACGCTAGGAGGAGGCGGTTGAAGGGGTTGAGGGTCTGGAAGGGGTAGAACTTTTAATGGGAGCTTGGAATCACGGCCAGTTAAGGTTTTAGTGTCTCTTTGGTCTATGGTTAGTAGCATGCTCCATGACATCGCCCTAATCTGCTGTATACCTTGTATTTGTGTGCTACGCGCCCCTGCAATCCTCTAATACAGGCCAACCCTCAACCCTAAACCCCAAACCCTAAAACCTTGAACCTTGGGTCAATCCCCCCTACTTGGTCTATCCCTTGACTTAGTAAGTCTACTTAGGAATTTGGGTTCTACGGCTGCTTATAAACGGGATTAGTAGGGATAGTACGTAGACTTACTAAATCAAAAAATCCTTCAAGTACGTCTACAATAATAGCTCCTAAATGTGGAAAAATAAGAGCCCTTGGCCCTCCTGTCCTGAAGCTTCATCCCCAAACCCTATACGCCCCAAACGTGGATCAATCCCCCACGCAGTAATGGCTACCACAGGGGACCCTTACAGGTATACTATGGCCCCTACTAACTCCATGTGAAGAAGCTATTGCTGTGGGGGTGGACCTAACCCCAGACTAGAAACCCGAAGTCCCAACCCCCCGAAACCCTAACTGCTACCTACTACCTAGAATTCCCCAAAGCCCCCGCATAGGACCTACATGAACACTATTAGTTTAGGGTACCTGGGGATCCTGGTACACCTCTGACCCCAAAAGCCTAAACATTCTGACCCTAAACCCTGAACCCTAGAAGCGGCCAAGCTCTAGTTGAATTCAACAGTCTGAGGGCCTCCGAAACAGCAGCGGCCTCTGAACTGCCCGTAGATGCCTGCACTTCAGGTAGGGTTCAAGGCCGGAAGCAACTAATAATTGAGTCTTAGGGTCTAGGGTTTAGCGATTAAGGTTTAGGCTTCAGGGACTAGGGTTTAGGGTTTAGGGAGTATAGCGTTTTAGGGCACTTTTGGCATAGGTCTTGGGAAAATACCCTAAAGGCTAAACCCTAAACAGTGTCTGTGAATATCGAATAGTTGGACCCTGAGGCTGAACTAGGGGCTTAGGGTTTCAGGCAGGGCTTAGGGTTTAGGGGGCTTGCCCAAGCTTGAGAAAATCTTTTGAAATCTAGACTCCGAACTGATCGTATGCACGCAAGCCGGTCACATATGCATATATATATATGTATGTATATGCATGTGTACGTAGTCGGATAGGCATATTGTGGAAGAGCAAAACTCTTGGCGCAGGATTTCTTCAATCAACAATATCTAGAAGCATGTGCTGAAGCCATTCGAAGGCGAACAAGAGATATGGACACCCCTAAGGGCCCAAAGCCTAAGCCCTTGACCAGCATCTAGGCTGGGCCCAAGAGGGAGGTTAGGTGGCTTAGGTTCAGGATTCAAAGTTTAGGTTCCTTCGTGAGTGGAGCTTCGCAGGCTTTTCCTTTTTTATGGCTAGGGTTCAGGGTTTAAGGTTAGGGTGAGGTTCGAGCCAGCATACTCGCAGTAGTGATATCTTCAGATCTATGTGAGGGGCCAAATCTCAGCTGTCTCCTCCATGGCTAAATATACCCTGAACCATAAACCCTAGACCTCGAACTGAAACGCCCCAACCCCAAACCCTAAACCCCAAGCGCTATATGGCTCGGAGTCTTTGAGTGGGACGCCCTTCTGCCGCTGGTGATCGAAGCAAACAGGGTGGCCTTTCGTGGTGTTGGCGTGGCATCCCGTCAAGTCATCTGGGATGCGTGTCTGGCGATTCTTACCATACCCTTTTGAACCACCCTTACCTTTGCCCTTCCCGCCTTTGGGGTTGTATGGACCTGGCTTCTCGTTGAACTGTTGGGGGTCGTATCAAGTTTTGGGAGTCCGCACTCAGCTTCACTGAATTCCCCTCTGTTGACCTCCAATCCTGGCCTTTTCCTGTGATTCTGAGCCTTACAAACCTTGATCTTCGATGTCAACCCCCCGACTGCTCCTCCTGCGGTCTGTCCTTTCTTTCCGAAGCTGTGGGCTTCAGTTTATAGGTCGCCGGCAGCGCCGCCGGCTTTTTAGCCTGAGTTGACAAGTTTAACTTACCTGAACAAGGTGCTTGTTGGAATGGATGACAGTGACAATAGTGCTGCGAAGTTTCGCACCCAGACTTCCTCGTCTTCGTACTCCTGAGTTGTGTTTTTTATATATATATATACATATATAAAACTTGATTGGCTGAGCCTTCAGTTAAGCCAAGTAGCTGGATCGGGCTCTTCTTCAGGTTCAGCCTCCAATCCAAGTAGCTCGGCCCTCCTCTGTTTGGCCTTGGGTAGTATGCTGAAACAAGTTGGCTATGTTCACGTGTAAGTGCATCCGAGATGCAGCCTTTAATGGGAGTGGCGCCACTGCCTGATGCGGCAAATCACCTGAGTTGAAGGCATGAAACAAAAAAACACTTGCCAAGGGACAGGAGACTAATGCAGTCGAGGTGCCGTCCTCCCAGTTGCCCACCCAGCGCTCCATCTCTGGGTCCCACTCCAAGTCTTCTATGCGAAAGCAGCGCCACTGTTTGTGCGCGCCCTGGTTTAGCATTCACTTACCACATTGTCATTTTACTTGACTTTTAGTGCATGTTCCCTGCCTCCAGCCAGATATACCGGATTTGGCCGTTGAGGTATATCCTCTCTCTGTCCGTGGAGTGGGACCAGATGTTCTCGACTTCCTTGGTTGAATTGATTCGAAAAGGGGAATCTTCTTCGGTACTATGGTCTGAGACAAGGGGCTACGGTGAGGCTCTGGACCGGATATGCCGAGTCGCTGCCCTTGGTTCATTATGTGTTGTAGGAGTTGCTTACATGTACACTGAAGCTACGAAAAACAACTTCTCGATGTACACTCTACCGCCACCTGGTATGAGCCTGGATTCAAGTCAACAAACATGCAACACACTAACAAATACACTGGAGCCCTGTGACTCCCCTTGACTGTGACTCCTGCATCACTAAACTACAAAACCATAAATCCTAAACCCTAAACCCGAACACTGAATCCTTAACCCTCGACCCTAAACCATAAAACTTAGACCCGAAATCCTAAACCCTAAATCCTTGACCCCGACTCCCGCATCCTTTCTCAACGGGCCTGGCAGAGGCCCCAGTAAGACCTCCAGCGAAGTTTCAAGGCAGAAGGTGTAGAGGGCTCCGGGGGAAAGAAAGGCTCAAGGCTCTAGGAGTGCTAGGGTTTAGAGAATTTGGGGTGATGGAATTTAGGGTTTTTAGGGTTTAGGGTTCAGGGAATTAAGGGTTTAGGGTTTAGGGGTTTAGGATGGGGTTATATAAGGGTAAAATGGGACAGAAAATGGAAACTACTATTTAGGGTTTACGGTTTTTGGCGTTCAAAGCTTAGGGCTCAGGATTTACCTTGTGGTTGATGGCCCGCCGCTTTTTTTAGATGGCCAGGTTCCTGAAAAAGCAACCCCAACTCGAAATGCACGGTTTAGGGTTTAGGGAATTTCGTTTTTCGAACTAGAGCCTGGGACATGCATCTGACAAGATAAACGTGCGCATTGTGGAATACGGTACAAACAGCTCTTTCAGATGGATTGCACCGAATCAAAACAGAAGTAAACACCAGCTATATGATGACTGCCATTGCTCACTTGGGCTCAGATAGCAACAACGAATGGCAGTTTGGAAAGCAGAAGGTCCCAACATAGACTTCAATATACTATCATTCTTTAGAATTATTGTTGGCACTCAGCATCACCATGTAAATTACTTGGTCCTTTAAATGTGATTTCGGCTGCTTTCTGGTCCGAATTGGCAGGGATAGCAGTTGACAGCGATAGCAGGTACTTCTACTGAGAGCGAGACTTTGTTTTCGAGATACTCCACACAGATGGCAATTTTCTAAAACATGCTAACGTTACTTCCAGTTCTGTCCTATTACTAATCTTTACAGCCTCTTGTATGATGCGGCTCCGGTCGTGCCCATGGACCATGCATCACCAATATACTGGGTTGCTTTTTAAAAACTTAAATTAAGATACTACAGTAAGGAAACCCTTTTATTGACGATCTTATGGTAAGTGAATGTAAATTCTTTAACAGCAACCCAGTACATTTTGCTAACAATCCCATCGCTCCAATGCTCCCGAGTTGTAACACTAAGGTCGTGCCCCTGGTAGCCCGTATATGAGCCCATATGAGCCATAGTTTAAATGCCTAGTATCTCCCTTACACCCCTTTGATAGTCCCCTTTCTTGTCCCCTATATAGCCGCCCTTTAAGGAGTTCAGACTGCAGTTCATGTAGCCCCCTAAACTTATTTGAAACGATCCTGAAGCCCAAGGGTAGGACATCAGGGGTGCATCCTTTTTTCTTTCAATCGCATCCTGCAAGCACACGACCCTCTGCGCTAAGGAGACCAGCCCAAACAAGCATGTAATACCTACCACATAATGTGTAATCCCCCTAGACCTATTATAAACGTACAGTAAATCTTTCTTGACTTCCTAAGGCTATACTAGAACAGGAATGAAATGTAAATCCTAAGGAGACTATAAAAAATTGGTAGTCCTCCAGAAGTGCCTTACAGACCCCGTGCGCTCCGCCACCGAAACCCTAAACCCTGAACGCTGTAAACCCTGAATCCCAAATCCGAAACCCTAACCCTCAACCCTAGCCCTAAACCCCATACCCTAAACCCTAAGCTATCAGCCCAGGCCCTATAATTGATTAGAGCCCAAACCCCCCTAAACCCTCAACCCCTAACTAGGATCCCCAGTAACCTAGGACGAAAAGGTCCCTTTTTTGAATGTGGTTTCTTTTAAAAAGAACGTAGGACCACCACCAAAAAAAGGGGGGAAAAACTTATTCAACATGGCTACCAATCCCCAACCCCGACTTCATATTTCACCCTAATCCCTGGACTCGAAGCACCAAGGCCAGATACGTAATCCATGCACCTGAAACCCACATGCCCAACCAAACTCCCAGTTGCGAAGTCCAAAGCCATGAAACACCAATCTCTCAAGCCTTAACCCTAGTCCCCCTATAATCCTTCTAGAATAAAGGGACTTTAATGGGAACCCCAAACAGGGAACCCCTAGACTATAGTAGGAAAATAATAGAATATAAGGACCCTGGTAGGTTGGGTCCCTCCCCGCTCCTATAACAGTCACCACAAGAAAAAGCACAAAAAAGCACAACACAAAATGGCCAACTCCAAGCGATTTTGGAAACTTAAACACATATTTGGCGATGTTCAGGAAACTTCCCTCTCTGTAATGTGCTGATATGACCGGGC